ATTCCTGCTAATAAACAAAGTTGTTACTGGTAATTGTAGGTGAGACTTTCTTCAGAGAATATGAAAGGAATATTGTTTGGTATCATACTAAGGTAGGAGATCAATTACAATAAAAGTACTATTCGTAATATACATTCATAATAGTAAAATGAATTAATATTTGTAATATAGAAGTAAATGCTATGGAAGAACTTAATTTCAGAGGTTTTTAAACTTTTTTCAGCAAATAAGGCAAATTTTTGATACTGTGAGTGGCATAAAGATGAAGATAAATTCTACTCACATTTTCATCTAGGATTTTTTTTCTTGACCTATTTCTAAGCAGGTTAATTTTTAATTTCATTTAATTATTTTTTTTTTATTTAGGACATACAGTTACTTATCTCACTGCATGCTACTTGGTGTAACTTTTCAGTGCCTAAACAGAACTTAAATACAAAGAAATTAAATACAAAGAAAGGACGAGTGGTATGTTGCTATTCTACAGCATATTTTTAAAAAATACAATATACTGCATAAATTATATGTTCAGGTAAACTGATACTCCACTGATTAAAAACTTTGAATTAAATCTGTTAGAATTAAATTAATGTAGTTTTGACTGCAGTCTCCTAACTTGATACATATCAAGCTGTTATTTTTATATTTTTTTATTATTTATCTTTAGTTATTAGTTATCTGAATAGTTTATATTTAAAATTAGACTATAGGAAAGTAAATGAAATAATTTGGTAACAGAAGCACATTCAGTTTTATATCTATGTGACATCTGCTTAAAGGTGAGGTTTTTTCTATTTATGGTTATAAGCGTTGAATATAATATAAGAAATACAGATGTTGTAGCTATAGGTTTCTTGCCATCTTTCATAAGCAATTAATAACTAAGATATAGCGTGATCATCTGATTTTATTTCAAGCGTAACAGAACAATCCCAGCAAATAACGCCACCATCAACTTCGTACCTTCTTTTTTAACTAAAACCACTATTTTATGACAATATTGTATATACAGTATTGACTTTAAAGATTCCACTAGTACAAGTTCTGCTACATCTGTAATAACTTGTACCAGTGATTTTTCTCTAAATTATATGTAATGGTGCTAGCTTGACTTCTTCTGGTTTCAGTTTGTAGCCATCGTGACACTTTAAAAACCATTGAAGTCTTTTGCGACCTGTTTGTTATTAAGTGTCTTGTTCTCCAGGTGAGAATTTTTATACTGTGGTCAGGTCACTTAAATGTATCTGCATTAACAAAGTAGATTCACTTCTTTAGTTCAGGTTTTTTTACTTTACTGGTATTCTTTTCAATATGCATTTGAAATACTGATTTCAACTAAATGCAGTATTTCAATAATTTTGTAGTTTCATAGGCATGAAGGGTAAAAAGTTTAATATTCTTTATCTCTTTTTTTACATTTTCTCCATTACCACTATTATTGTGGTGGAACTTTGTGTTCAATTGCTGAACACAGTTCAAACTTGCTTCCGTGCTCACTACTTGCTGGGACACAGTTGTTGTGTCTAGGTGGTTTGTAGTGAACACTGTGGACTCTTTGGGATAGCTGTATGGAAGTATTTCTGTGGGACTGAAGTGAATTTTGCAGTGTCTGTCTTGCTGTTGTGCAAGGATTTTACTTTGTCTGCTTTACGTTGGGATTTTCAGTAAGTATTTAATTGTCTAAGTGTTAAGGAATTCTCACAGACACTTTGAATTCTTTGATCCCATGAAGCTGACCTGTATGGCTACCAGAAAGAGCTGACTTCAAAATGAGGATTACAGCTAAACTATATCAGAAACTAGAATACAGTCTAGTTAAGGGGTAGGGGGAAAACAATAAAAAAAACCCACCAAAACATTCTTTCTGTGAATTTCGTGCCGTATTAAATAACTTATGTGATTCTTTTTCATGATCTGATCCATGGCTAGCACTGTACTTTACTTGAAGTTCAAATTGTAAATTATTTAACTGTAAATGTGAGAGATTTCTTTTATAATTAGCTCAGGTTCATGCAGCACTGGGAAGTCTGATTCAGCAGTTCAGAGAAGTAATGATGACTATGACAAACTTGGCTTTCACTTCTTTTTTTTATTTCAAAGATTATTTTTTAATTTTTTTTAATGAAAAGCTTGAATTTTATGCTTACTGTGCTGTAGGAGTGCATGCTGTTTTCTTTCTTGTGGTTAAAACATGAGTGTCTAGCTGAGGATTAAGGAAGATACTCAGATTAATGGGGATTAACTTTAAAGATCATTAAGATTAAAGGCAACAGAATGAAGAGCTATTTCAGAGGGAGTAGTGGAAAGCTGTATAGACCTAACTTATTAATTAATATTTTGACTTAAAACTATAGATACATAAATAATAGACACCATTTCTTAACCCCTCCAAATGCGTACACGCACCCCCAGTGACAAAGATTTAGTTCTCTAGAAAATAGGCAGGAGCTTTATTGTGGTGAGAAGGGAGCTGGGATGGCAGGAGAGCACCCAGTTTGATCATGGGCATTGGATTCATTATTTTTGTTATCCTGCTAGTTAGAGAGAATGACTTTTTGCTGTGTTGCTTTTGGACTATTATAGAGTTAGTAAATAATTTAAAATATATTTCTTTATTTAATGTATCCTAGATGTACTAGTATATGCTTAAATGAAGGTTTTTGTACAGCTTTTTACTTTCAGGTATGTAATTTATCCCAGTAAAAGATGTTAACATGCCTGATCTTGTTGAAATGGTTTGCCT